AAGTCTAAAAAAAAATTTTTTTAAATTTATCTAGAAAGTCTAGATGAACCTTGATTAAGAATTTCCCTGTTCCGCTGTTTGGGTCTTATTTTACAGGATTCTCCTTCCTATCCTTTGTCTGTGGGTATCAAGCCAACCAACTTGGGGAGTCAGTTCCTTCATCCTCTAGAAGTCCGTTATGTCTAAAAGCATTGCTGATAAATATAACATAACATTTATTTCCCCTTGCTGTCAATGCCTGTTATTAAAATTCTTTCTGGCTTTACACTGCATAATTTTATGTCATCTTTCTGTATATGTTATTCACCAAAGCCTGTTGACATAGACTTCTGACTCATTGCCTTGTTATGAGCAACCTACCTAGGATTTAGACATTTTAGTACCAGGTTGTAACTTTTAATTTGTGTAGGTGCCTTTGCTAGATGTTTCCCTGCCCTCTGATTCTTTCACTGGGTTCATGGATGTTCCACTGGGTCTCCAAGAAAGTGAAAGTGAAAGTAACTCAGTTAGGTCCAACTCTTTGTGACCTCATGGACTACACAGTCTATGGAATTCTCCAGTCCAGAATACTGGAGTGGGTAGCTGTTCCCTTCTCCAGGAAATTTTCCCAAGCCAGGGATTGAACCCAGGTCTCCTGCATTGCAAGCAGATTCTTCACCAGCTGAGCCACAAGGGAAGCCCCAGATCTCCAAAGATCCCCAAAGACCTATAAGGATCTTCAATGATCTCCAAGGATCTCTAAGAATCTTAACCATTACTGAACGCACTCTGTATTTTCTTGCTTTGCTTCAGTACTATAAGTCCTATTTTCTCACCATGCCTGGCCTAAAACACAAAATACCAGGAGGAGGCAAAAACAAAGAGAAAACATGGAAGGAAAGACATTGAATAAAAGACTCATCAATACCATAAGCATATCATCAATACTATAAGCATATAGCACATTGTCTATATGCCTTATATGCCTATGGTGTTGATGATTATTTTAGTCCATGTCTTACTTCTTAGAAAGAAATAAGCATGGCTCAAATGGTAAGGAATCTGCCTACAATGCAGAAGACCTGGGTTTGATCCCAGATTTGGGAAGATCCCTTTGAGAAGGGAATGGCTACCCACTCCAGTATTCTTGCCTGGAGAATTCCATGGACAGAGGAGCCTGGCAGGCTACAGTCCATGGGGTCGTGAAGAGTGTGATAGGAATGAGTGACTAACACTTTCACTTTGACTTTCAAGGCAACTTGAGCATGGTTATCTCTCGGTGTGCTTTCTTTTCTTCCATCACCTTATAACCCCAATTTATAATTCAGTGCCATGAAGGTAGGGTTTTTGTTTTCTTTTCTATGTGTACTCTTGATTCCCCCAATTTTATTCCACATCTGAACCACAGAAGATGTTCAATAAACATTTGCTGGTTAATGAATGAATGAATGAATGAATGGCATCATCACATGAAGAGTAGCAGTAGTAAAAGGTAGTTTGTGTGAAAGTGTGAAGTTTCAAACCAAATAATTCAATAACCTGAACATTGGTCTTAATTAAAATGGCTAATTCAAATTAGTTAACTTACTTTGAAAGTCTTTAAAAATAGAATAACATATTCTGGTAACAAATACTTTTATCACTGGTAACAGTGTTTATTAGTCATATATATATATATATATATATATATATATATATATATATATGGGCTTCCCAGGTGACTCAGTGATAAAGAATCCACCTGCCTATGCAGAAGACACAGGAGACCTGGGTTCTGTCCCTGGAGGAAGGTCCCCTAGAGGAGAGAATGGCAATGTACTCCAGTACATTCTCCAGCCTGGAGAATCCCATGGACAGAGGGGCCTAGTGGGAGACAGGCCATTGGGGTCACAGAAGAGTCGGATATAACTTGGTGACTTAAACAACAACAACAAATATATATGTGTACATATATATATATGTTTATATATATATATAGTTATGTTCCTATTTTAAAGAATTTTATTTAAACTTTAAATTGTAAATTTTAAAGGAGTGTCATTACTACTCCTATTTAAGTCCTGGGCAGCAACAAAAATCACTCATAGTTTAACATTCCAACTTGAGGAATTTCCAGTTGTTTATCAATGATTAATTCACTTTAAAAATTACAGGAATATTATCTTCTCTTTGAACCTCAAGGCAAGTTGCATTGCTATATTTAAATCACTTCAATCAAACAAGTGTCACTCTCCTAGAATTGGCATACTTTAAATTATAAAACATGATACATTAATATATAAGAATATTTTAAACTATTTGGTCTTATTCTTAAAAACAGCAAATAAAATTCCCATGTAAAACATGAAAGTGAAAGTGAAAGTCGCTCAGTCCTGTCTGACTCTTCGTGTCCCCATGGATTATACAGTCCATGGGATTCTCCAGGCGAGAATATTGGAGTGGGTAGCCTTTCCCTACTCTAGGGGATCTTCCCAACCTGATGAAAAACCTATTTGCTTCAAATTTTGAAGTGATTTGAAAAATCAAGAGGTAGAACTTTCAATATTTAGATGGATTTCTGAATCACACAACTCTTTTGATGTATATACAGAAGAAAAAGTAAAGATTTATCTTTTAGCATTGAGTACTACAACCTGAAAATAATGAGTTAATAATTTTTGGTCTCATAGTGAACTAGGGAATTCAGATTATTCCTTTTTACAGAAACTATCTGCAAGTAAGAGGCAAAAGATGGCAGCAGTGAGTCATTCCAAGATGGAACACGACCCAGCATGGTTTTTATTTTTCAATATTTTCAAATTGTGCATTTACTAATATCCTGAAGTACCCATTATGTTAGAAGAACAGAGATCACCCACCCTTTAAGAAGCCTATAGGAACTGTCTATGGGTCATTTCCAAGGTGTACAGTTAGTGAACAGGGTTTGCTATTGCTTATCTCAAAAACAACTAAAAAAATTGTAGAAAATTATGCTTCTAACTTGGACCTATATATTCAAAAAAGACGCATATATTTTCTGTGGATGATAGCTACACACTTATCTCAGATTTAATCCAAAGTGTAACTGACCTACCCTCCAAGTTTGCATACCCTCCAAGACTTTCGGATTCAAATAGTACACAGATGCAAAAAGGCACAGTTTAAATTTCCCCCATAAATCTGACCAAAGCTATGGTGAAAACAAAGAACATCCTTTAAAATACAATGTGGCCTAATGGATACAGTGCCGCTAATTTGTCTTGTACCAAATACTCCACAGTAATCGAACTGCCTTTCTGAGACCTGAAATAAAAAATATAGTTCAACATCTGCTGAAAATGGCCCTGCAGTGTCCTCCCTCAGAGGAGTCCGAAGTATTTTAACACAGAGCTGGCTTTAAGCTTGGAGCCAGGCTGGAGGACTACTTTGGCCGGTGGGACCAAACTTAGGTATATCTATGCCTGCCCTACCCTGAGGTAGGAGAGTTAAAAATGAACATTTGCACTGTTGTCAAAGGGCCTTGCTTAACATGCTGCCCCATTCATTTGTTTCTATTTATTTAACCTGTTTAAAGGACACCCCTGGTGGCTCAGGGCTAAAGAATCTGCCTGCCAATACAGGGGATGTGGATTCCATCCCTGGGTCTGGAAGATCCCCTGGAGGAGGAGATGGCAACCCACTCTAGTATCCTTGCCTGAGAAATCCCATGGACAGAGAAGCCTGGCAGGCTACAGTCCATGGGGCCGCAAAAGAGTCTGATGAAACTGACCATGGCAAACCTGTTTAAACTTTCCTCCTTTACTGTTACCTCAAGTTATATTAACTTCCTCCAAAGAATACTAGAGAATAGCCCGGGATAAATATTCAGGCCATTTAACTTTGTTGGATGATCTCTTTTGACACAAAAGAGCAATTCTTTCTGAGAATCACAAGCCCCTCAAAGCCCTCTGCTGACAGTGTCGTGGACGGCTCACGTCTGTCCGTGTCTGGGGAACCAGCGCCGAGGAGGGGGAGAGTGGAGAAGCTCATAACCACAGTCAACCTGGGATCCGCAGGTCAGGGATGGTGCGCTGTGGCATTATTAGGAAGCGCGTTCGCCCTGGTCCCCGGGCACGGTGCGCTGTGCCTGTCTTGTCTTGCAATTGCAATAGGGCTGAGCCCAGTCATGACTTTTGAAAGTGAGGACACAGGTGAAGGCCCAGAGGACCTCCTGGGCACAAGTCAAGGGTCTTGTTTTCTAACAAGACTCACTGTTCACTGCGGTGATTGCTACTTGCTGCATTTCACAGCAAGAGGGGCAGAGAGAAGCCCCCAAGGAGTCCACCAGCTGTCAAACCAGGAGGTGACAGAAGAAGCGGAAAATGACGAGAACGATGCAGGGGGTATTGGGAAACTTTGGGGAAAGCAACGGGTAAGGGTTTTCATCTGACTGGGAGGTGGCGGGGCGGGGGGCTAGGAGGAGGAAGACGAGGTGGCCGAAGTGCCGAGTTGGAAGAAAGAAGCGGGGGAGCTGACGGAAGAGGAGGGAGGAGGGGAGTTTAGCATTGCGATCTATTCAAGTTCCAGACTAGGCAAGTCTCTCTAGCAGGAAGTTACATACATTCCAGGGTCCAAATCAAAGGGATTTCATTTAAGGACAAAGTCTCTCCACCCGCGAACAGCATGTTTCATCGAAGCACTGGAAGTGACGGGAAGATGGGACAGACGCCGTGGGGAGCTCGGAGGTGGCTGTCCTGGCGATGTTTGCTCTAGAACCACAGGATTTGAGAGACTCCATCTCCACCCAGCTCAGGCACAGTCAGCCTGCCGCCGGCCCCAACGCACACACCTGCTCCCTTAGGACCCCTTCCATCCCCGCTCTTTGTTTTGCACGCTGACATCTGCCACACAATAAATTGTCAGCATGTTGCACGTACATGAAGGAACCGGCCCTTTGAGCATCGGTCCAACCCAGGGTTCCAGGCCTTCCTCGAGTCCCTTCCAGCTTTCGCCGGGTTCGAGAGCATCCACCCATCTGAGGGCCGGGGTGTGCGTTCCCAAGGATGCTCGGCCGTCTCCCAACCCGCGGCCTCCTCCCCTCTCCCCCGCTGCTGCCGCGAAAACCAGAAGTGGAATGCGCACGGCAAAGCGCGGCGCTCCGGCGGCAGCACTGGGCATGCTCGGCACCCGGGGCAGGTTCGGGCGGCGGGGCGGACGCTGCCTCACGAGCCGGGCGCCCGAGCCGGCCGCGGAGGCATAGGTGGAGGCTGAGGCTGCCGCGCGCCGCGGGAGGAGCCTCGCCCTCGGCGGCGGCGGCGGCGGCGGCGGCGGCACAGGTGGCGCGGGCCGCGCGCGGGGCGCAGCACGGGAGCGCGTGGCGCCGGGCGCCGCGGCGGCCCCAGGCTCGCGCCCGCGGCGGCAACCGGCCGAGCGGAGCGGCGGGCGCGGCGGCGGCTGCGGCTCTCCCGGCCCGGCCGGCGGCGCCCGGAGCCCGCAGGAGCCCGCAGCAGCCCCCGGGAGCCCGCAGGAGCCCCGAGCCCGCGGAGCCCGCGGAGCCGGGCAGGGGGCGCTGCGCGCGCTGCGCTCGGAGGGGCCGCCGGGCCGGGCGCCGCGCACTCGCGTCGGGGAGCCGCCTCTCCCCCGCGGCGCTCGCCCCTGCTCCCCGCTGGCATCACTTGTCCCGCGGCCGCGCTCAGACAACAAAAGCGGAAGATGCTGCAGTTGAGCAAGGTCAGGACCTTGCCCTGAAGCCGGGCGGCGGCGCGCACGCCTCTCCCCGGACTGAGGAGCTGTCGCTGGCGGCGGGTGCATGTTCACGAGGAGGCAATCCGGCGCCGCGCCGTTCGGTGAGTTGCCTTGGCCGGGCGACTGGGGCCAGGCGCATCCCGCTCGGCGTCGTGCTCCTCCTCGCCGCCGGTGGGGGTTGTTCCTCGGCGGCTCCTGGCCGGGGGAGGACCGCGATCGCGCCGGGTCCCCTCGCTCGGAAGACGGCCGAGCCTGGAACGGGGGGCCGGGGTTAGTGCCTTTCTCGGAGCGATTACCGAGTGGTTTCTCTGCGTGCTCCCCTCCCCGCCACCCATCTCCCCCGGAGGAGGCGTATATAGGGCAACACCAACAATACTGCTCCCCGCCACCCTCCCGAACCTACCCGTGGCATTCATGACGTCCCTAATATACGGGAGAAGACGGGTGGGGGTGGGGAGGACTCCCCTCCAATCTTTTGCCCTTATGTTCAATGTCATTACGATGTTTGGCTAAAACAAAATGGAAATACTTAGTCATATGCGTCCATGGCTGTCTCTCCCGTCTCCCGCTGCTTGCCAGACCCAGAGCCCCTTGGGTCTATATTTAGCTGTTTCAGAGGCAGCGCTTTCAGCTCGATTCCCAGGTTTCGGGGGCTTCTGCGTCCTGACAATAGATAGCGAAGCTCCGGGAAGCGCCGCCTGAAACCCAGGTTCGGAACGCTGTGCATGTGGGTGGGAGGCTGCGAGGCGATATTTGGGTGATCGGTAATTAATGGCCGAAAGCACAGATGCTTTCCTTGTTCGCCGACCTTCCTCTCATTCTGGTGTGTAATGTATTTCCATCGATGGCTGCGCAGCTGGTTCCAGCCACTACGTTCAGAATTAAGTCGCTAGAGAGGCGGTGCAGCCTCCCTGGTCTGTGTGGTAGGAAAACAGTCTGAGAGGTTTTGGGGTGTGTGTGTGGTTTCCACCATGAATAGTTACTTCTGAAAATGCCTAAAGTTGTGTTTTCCCTGCAGATGTTGGGGATAGGGAAGAGTGTGAGGCAAAAGAGGGGCACGTTGTTATTCCACGGTTGGTCCTCCCCTCCCCCCGAACTGATTTGGTTCGCTTCGGCTCTGAAAGATGTTTTTAACATTCATGCCTGATGTTACCAAGAGGATATGTTGGTTTAGAGAAGCGTTGCCTCCTAACCATGGTTATCAGGCCTGATCTGTATCTGTTTTCACTTTTGGGAACTAGGTGACGAATATTTGAGATGCTTGCAATTTTCTGCAACGACTTAAATAGGGAGGTGCTCAAACTACCTAAGAGTTACCTCATTGTGCACCCTTCGCATCAGCAGCTTTAAACTACCATCAGCTACTTCGGGTAGTTCAGTTCTTCTCTTCGCTGTTAGTACTTCACCTGCAGGACTAAGAGGCTTTCGAGCTGCGCCACTTTTAAAATCCCATGGAAAAAGTGGTGGATATGACTCACATCGAATTACAGGAGTGCACCTGTTTCTGGTTTGGGGAGCTGGCTCTATAAGAAGTATGACAGATAAGGGCAGACATCCTCTAATATGGACTCGATGCTCTAAAGCACCGTGAAATCTCTTTGCCACATGCAGGATCCATTTTTAATGTTTTGGGGAGAGCATTCAGTGGCATTCTCACTGGTCTGTAGGTTTCATGATCTCAGGGTATGAATGAAAATGATTGCATTTGGGGTTAGATGCTGAAATTTAGGAGACCTGTGATTACACAGCTAACATATCTCAGCATCACAGAAAGACTAGCAAGATCTTTGTGACTCCAGTGTGTTTGTGTTTGTTTGTTTGTTTTTTTTAACCAATATTGCTTTAGTTTCACCTTATTCACATTCAGAAAACTTTCCAAGAGCACTTCAAGCACACTCTTGTGTTTGTTGCATTGTTTTCATATCAAATTTCTTACAAAATGAAGCAGTCGATGAAGTACACATTCATGTCTCTCCTTTCACTTTCCTTTTGAATCTTGTTTTTCAGCTTTAAACATGATTCCTAAAGGACTAGTAGAGATGACTCTGTGCTTCCGTGTGTTCACGGAGAGCAGCTTATGGGTGTGGGTAAAACTGCATGTATTGGATGCGGGAGTCTTATGTTATATTGTGGGTTGCAAATGGTAGTACTTGATTGAATGGCAATTGTAGGGAGTAGAGGAGGTCGTTGCTCTAATAAAATTGTCATAGCCTTGTGGAAAGGAGTTATTTAATTTGGTGTATGTTTGCGTCGTTGTGGAGCTTAATCATTGGAGATGTCACTGATGTTTTCATTGTTTGAAATGATAGTCACGCACTGTCAAATTACAGTATTTCCAGCAACTTCACGTCGTTCACAATTAGAATACAAGCCGGTTTCTTTTTCTGTCACTGAAATAATTCATCAGAGAGAAAAATGGAATTCTGATGATATTAGTTGAAATTGTGATTTATAATTTTGTTAAATCGCTTCTCAGGATAGTATCACATGATGGCCTTTACAATTAAAAATGAAGTTGTAGTATTCTCAAATATAACATTACTTTTGGCATACAAGTGAATACTAAGGACTTCTCCTGACAATGTTGTAGAACTTGGCAGTTTCTGTTGTACTTTTTCAAAGTTCTCTTTTATACGGTATGCGTTTATGTGAAATTGTTGAATTCTCCAGAGTAGTTTCATCAGGTTGTCTTTATGTAAGAAAATACTAAAGTTACATTTAAAGTAATTTGTTTCTCCATAAAGTGAGGTGTGGTTTGTCTGGCTCACTATATCTGGTTGTAACAAGTTAGTTGAACTAAAACAGGAACTGTTGCCATTTTTAACTGCCAAAAGTGTTTTTGTTTTTTTTTTTGTTTTTCTGATGATTTACCCTAGAAGATATGAGTAATCACCTACAGTTGTTTCTCTGTATTATATTTATTTTAATTTATTTAGTGGGGGATTGGTTATGCTAGGATTTTAAATAGACACTTGAAAGTGTTTATTTTTGTAAAGATTTTTATTTTTATTAGTAAAAGATGACATATAGTTGAGAGTACCTAACTTCAATACCTATAGTTCAGAAGACCAGCAGGTCTTTTTAAATCTAGCACTTCTATCCAAGGTGTAGTACAATGGGTCTTTGCTGGCTGAAACACACCTTCAAGACAAATTCTTCAGCTGATATCCATGATAGTTTTCGTGACAAATTCTTCAGTTGGTGTCCATGATGATTTTCATGACAAATTCTTCAGTTGCTATCCATGATGGTTTTCATGGCCCATATTGCGAAGGTATTCTTAGGACTGTGGTACTTTGATAGCTTTATGATAAGGAACATATGGATTTGAGTGAGAATAGTTCCTTATACTTGTTGCTGGCTTCAAGCTTATTGTATTATATGTCAAATCAATAGCTTTTATATTAATATAAAATATTAAGCATATCATAGATAAAGAATTTCTATTACATTCTGTGCCAGTCTAGCTTACTGATTAATAAACTGCTTGGTTGGCTTTAATGAACCCAATTATATTCATAAACAGTACCTCCAGCCCAGGAAACTCACAGAAATGTTTTATCATACTGTGCTTTAGGTCCATGAAAAATGTTAAGACTCATAACAAAAATGCATAGTTTTGATACCTACAGTTGTTTATCTTTTCATTACATAGCAGCTGAGTGCAATTTCAAGCTCTGTATCATGGTTAATTGATTTGTAGGAAGTCTTAGCTCTATTAGGATATTGAAGTTATACTCTGTATCAATTAATTTTTGGCAAATTGCAAATAATGACTAAATAAGTGAAACAATGCTCCCTAGAAGCTTTCCATCTTAGGCAAATATTCACCTGTGTCCCTTGGTAAGATTCTTGAATAGTTATCTGTGAAATGTATTACATATATTGAAACTTATTATTCCATTAATTGTTGTCTCAGATCAGAAATATATTTCTAGAGAAGAGGTTGGGTTTTGCCCTATAACAGATACACGCATTTCATATTTTAATATATCTATGTATGATATTAGAATATTTATCATAGTATAATGCTGTTTTGGATTCTGCTTTGAATAGGTGCAAAGGTGGGAGCACTGGTTTTGGAGGGATCCCAGCTCTGTCTCTGTTAAGCTGCGTGTCCTTGGCCATTTATGTGATTCTCAATTTTTAGCTTAGTTTTTCAACTGTAAAATGGGTCCTATACATAAGTATATACTACATTAAATAATTAAACAAGCGAAATAACTGAGTCATGAGAATGAAATGTCCAGCATGGGGAATATAATTAGTAATAATATATAATATCTTTGTATGTTTTAATTTAAAAGGAGTAAAATAAGACAAGAAATCTCAAAGAGCTAGTCTCAGGGTGAAATAAGTGTGTAAGTGGCTTATAAATATTTGTATAAATATAAAAGACAAGTATCTCCATATTAAGATGAGTAGTTATATATTATGTATTTATAACACATAATACATTTATGTAATTTTATATAATTATCATATAGTATTATGTACACTTATTATGTAATAATACATTTATATATTGTGATATAAAAGCCATGACCCTCTCTAACAAAAACTGTTAGATATGTTCTCCCTCTACTACTTTTGTATTATTGCTTTATTATGTAGATTTGTGTTTAAAATAGAAGTTTTCTACTCTACAATATGCCAGTCCTTTACATATCAAAATATATAATGGTTAAGCTAAAAGAGAAGCGAATGATATCCCCTAGTACTATTACTTAAAAAGATTCCAATCTTAATTTAATTTAAAAAGATTCTCAGTCAGAAATTGCAGAATTTTGACACTCTGTTAACATTATCCTATTCACCTGATTAAAATCAAATTTTCTACAAAGATTAACATTGTACCGGGAATATTGTAGACAGTTTAATAAGTGTCGCTCTCTGCGAGGTCAAATATTAAGCACTGCTCTGCTTAGAACCACAGAGCGTAAATCCCGTCATAACATCACTGTGACAAAGAAAAGGAAACATAAATGGCTAAATTTGTTACACAAAGAGAAGACCCACCCCACCTCCAATTACAGTCACGTTCTTGGGGGGGGGGGGTGGGGAGAGTGTGTGTCCATTGGTACCTTTTTGATGATAAATGGACATTTTCCCTGTCCTTGCACTCTTGGTTGCTTTAGTGAAGGTTTGAACTCCTGTGGGTTTGATTCTGTCCAGCTCCTGTGAGGTAGAACAGATACCTTCAACATAATCCTTATGATAATAACACTTGGGTGAATCTTAGAATTTGTTACAGAATGTCACCTGTGTAATAGGA